TTAATCTAAAAATCATATAAATGAACTAGCTGATTAATTATCTTAACTTTTACATACATGTAGAAAATAACAAATCAAAAGCGATAAGACATAACACAATATCCAACCAGACTATATCCAACCAGACTACACACTTGAAACAAGATGAAACCCTCAATAGAGGGCTCTCTATACAACAAACACGCCATACTACACCAGAAACAGGAAGGAAGCATCCACGGAGCAGGAGTATTCTATGCATCAGATAAATAAAGGTCAAGTCATAACACATTAGAAACAAAAAGGAACAATCCATAGTGAAACACTCGATACAATAGCCATGTCATAAAAGAGGGATTAAAGATACCAGAGGGACAGTCAAACTCATAGATCGAAAACAAACTGACAACGCCATGGCCAAAAATAAAAAGACAAACAGACAAATAATAGTACAGATGACACAACATAGAAAACTAAAGACTATGCAATACGAACCCCACCAAAAACTGGGAATCACAGCCAAGTCAGATAACATTAGAGACAGAGGAATCTTCCTCAGGGGACACTCTATACTACAGCCCAGTCATATAATATTAGAAACAGACAGGAATCTTCCTCAAGACACTTGTTACTACCGCCAAGTTATAAAACACTAGAAACATAAAGGGATCATTCACAGGTAGATGAACACTCTATACTACAGCCAGGTCACATAACAATAGAAACAGAAAGGAATCTTTCACAGGAGACCTGGCACTTTATATAATTTATTTAACACTAAAACCAGGAAGGGATCTTCAGCAAAGACAATAAAATAGAAACAAGACGAAAGTATCAACACTCTCTATACAGCCAAGGCATTTAAATCAGAAAAATGAAGGTATTCTTCACAGATGGCTCTCTATACAACAACCAAGACATAATACACCAGTAACAGCAAGCCTTCTGTGGGTATTAAAATTGCAATGCAGTGTCCCCTTCGGTTGTAATATTTAAATTTGTGTTTAAGTTTACTACTATATGGCAGAAACATTTCTGATGTAGCAAAAAATTTCCATCTTATTATAAATTGGATCAGAAAATTTATTTGAAGATTGACAAAAACAACTGAACCAATCCAATCCTTGAAGCATCTATTTCAATGCGATTTTCTATGTCCTGGGGCCACAACTTATGCAAAAAAATCGCATAACTTGACGAATAATTCAAATCTCCATCTTTCATTTTTAAAATATGACCAATGATACACCTATCACTATCCTTGATATGACTACGGTATACACCAAATGCCTTATTAATTGAATTAGGCATTGCAGATGTGTGGAAAACTGATAATTCCAAGAATATTGAACTTTCTATGTCCGAGGGACATGTCACCAAAAATATATTAACCGAAACCAGTCAAACTTGATCTGTCGCTTCTTATAATATGAATTTAAAACCTATAATGGTTTACTTTTATAATTTTGACTTGGATGGAGTGTTGTCTCATTGGCACTCATACCACATCTTCTTATATCTATTTACAAAATGTATTAAAAAAATGTAATTAGTTGATTCAGGATTAACAGGAAAAGTGTGGACAATGTTTTTTTAAAGCAATTTAATTTCTTTTGGTGTTCATGCAATTCCCTAAGTTTTAATTTTGACCATGATTTGTGGCTCCTTAATGTTTTGAGAGAATTGAACATAGGTAACCTGCTGTTGCCTCTTATTCATACTACTAGTACAGCAAAAAATGAAAGGTACACTTCGCAGAGGGATCTCTGTATAACCAAGGCATAATTCATCAAAAACAGGAAGACCCAAATCTTAGAGGACACTTTTTACAACAGTCAAGTCATAATACACCAACACCATGACGGTACCCTTAGAGAAGACCATCTACAAAAGCCAAGTAATTATCAAGGGTCACAAGAAATAATAATTAATTAATGGTATCATCAATTGGAGGAAGAGGAACTTCATCTTACGGCAAAACAAAAAAAGCAGTCATAGTGCATCACCAACCTGAAGGAGCCATCTGCAGGTTGACAGTATACAACAGCAAATTCATAATATACAATAGTACAATATACTAACCACAAACAGGGTTACTATACAACAACCACGACAAAATACACTAGAAGTATTAGAATACCCTTAAAAAGGGAATTCTCTACGACAGCCGAATAATAAATCACAAGAAACAGGAAGGTACACTTCACAGATGGTTATCTATGAAAAAAGCTTAGTCATTTGAAAGCAGTAGCAGGAAGAAACAATCCAAAATGGGTGGCATTTTATACAAGTCAATAGATATAGGGGAGCTACCATTTGATTTTTATGGGGGCTAGGATGAAAACTTTTGTCCTGCATTTTTTTATAGTTGTAATCTCTGTCCTGCCTTTTTATTTTTCACTCTATACGGTCCTGCCTTTTTTTTATTAGTTTATCCTGACTTTTTTTTACATAAATTGTCATCCTGCCTTTTTTTTTGCCAAGTTGCTCATCCTGCTATTTTTTTTACTCAAAACTCCTGTCCTGCCTTTTTTTCAAATTTCATCCTAGCCCCCCCCCCATAAAAATAAAATGGTAGCTCCCTAGGAGGATGTGGTATGAGTGCCAATCAGACAACTCTCCATCCAAGTTACAATTTATAAAAGTAAACCATTATAGGTCAAGGTACGGCCTTCAACACGGAGCATTGGCTCACACAAGTCATAATACACAAGAAACAATGATGTTAACTTCGTTTGATTCATTGATTGATTGATGCTTTACGCCGCATCAGCACGGAAAGGCTATATCGCAGCGAATGTCAACTTTGAAGAGTGCCTTCGAAACAGTAGACAAGTAATAGGAAGATGCACGTCACAGAGGGCGTTCTATGCTACATCCAAGTCACGGTTCACAAGAAACAAGAAGGTATACTTCGAAGATTGCTCTCTTTACTGTAAACAAGTAATAATAAATCAGAAACAGGAAAGTAAGTACACGCAACAGAGGGAATTCTATACAACATCCAAAATACGGTACACTAGAAAAAGAAAGGAACACTTCACTTAAGGCATTGCACACCACTACCAAGTCATGATACACTGGAAATAGGATGAAAACTCCATGGTGGGCATTCCATACAAAGGCAACCAAAGTACACTGATAACATGGAAGTATACTTCATAGAGAGCATAACAGCCAAGTCCCAGTACACTAGAAACATGATGGAACACTTCATAAAAGACACCTTACAACAGCAAAGTCCTAGTACACTAGAAACATGATGGAACACTTCATAAAAGACACCTTACAACAGCCAAGTCCCAGTACAGTAGAAATATGATGGAACACTTCATAAAAGACACCATACAACAACCAACAAGTAACATAAATGTATACTTCACAAAGAACACTATACTACTGCCAAGTCAGAGAACACTAGAAACAGGATGGAACATTTCAAAAGGGATACTCTATACAACATCCAACGTCCAATGAATTAGCAATTCACAGAAAGAACTATTTACAACAGCCAAGTCAGAATTCAAAAGTAAGGCACATTTTCACAGGGGATTCTTTTTGTTGGATGTGAATTCATTTAATATCTGACAGGCTAAAACACTAAACATAAAATGTAATTGACAGTTGTAAAAAGTCTGTAAATGGATGGGGTTTTGAGCACTCAAACTATGTAGGTTAATCTTAACCCATGTTAAGTGGCTGTCCAAACGCAGGAACCTTATCAGTATTAACTCTATCTAAATACTTTAAAGATTTGATGTCATTAGCAGATTTGTTTTCCAGTCTGTCAAAGCTCTAAATTTAATTCGAAATATGGTATGGACATTTTTCTGTTATTGAAGACCATATGTTGACCTCTGGTTTTCATTTTTTGTTGTTGCTATCTCATTCATATCTGCTTTTCTTTATATGTATCAAGGTATCAAAAGGATTAATGTTGTTATTTATGAAGTAAGAAACTGTTACCAGTTATTTGGGTTTTCAACAGACCTTGGGTTGGAAGTGGTTTTAAGTTTTCTTTTTCGATAAACATTGTCTTTAAATAAGTGTTTATGATTTGCATATGTTTACCACCTAAACTGGAGGCTCACATCAGGTATATTAATAGCAATGTCTTCTGTGATAAGTTTCAGATTTTCAATATAGATTTCCCTTGAATAATTAAAGAACTTAATCTTAAGTATCTCTCAGAGAACACAAGCAATATTTGGACTGCTACAAAAGCTTCATGGGCTTCGATCGAAAATAGTCTCCTGACAGTTCCAATATCTGTTGTGAGTAATAACACTCTGTCAATAACAATCATATGCAAATACAAAATCTAAAGTCCTTCTCGAGAAATCAGCAAGCCATATTTGGTCTCAACTAGAGTAACAGTTCTTAAGAATCTGTCCTCATATTTGCCATACACACCCATGTAAATGTATTCTCCCTATTATGTAGGCCAGACTGGTCATACCAGCACCAATGTAAATGTATTTTCCCTTTTCTGAAAGCCAGATTTGTCAGTTGAACACCAAAATAACAATCTTTGAAAGTACCTTAAATTAGCCTTTCTGTCGTTTCAACTGCTTTGGTGGTTATCAACACTCTGAAGAGGGTCATACAAGAAGATTTAATTCTAGGTTGAGCATTTCTTAAGATTTTTTTTATTTATTCAACAATAAGTTTACTATGCCATTTTGGAATATACAAGACCCTTTATAATTAAGATCACTGGTTGATATAAGTCAATAGTTGATAAGAAAGAAGTAATTATGAAAAATCCAATATGATATTCTTACCATATTTCTAATGGGCTTCAATGTAAATTAAGAAGACAGTAGTTTACGGATGTTCAAATCTCGCAAATCAACTGTAAACAACATTATTGTTGTGGGCTATGTTTTGTCAGCATTCAGTGCATTTGTCCTTAAACATTTCTTTTGGCTTCATTTGACATAGACTTGGTGAGAAAATGAACTACATGTTAATTTGGAACAACATTGGATTATTGATATAAAACAAAAACAAAACTAGCACATGATAAAAAGATGACTGTATTTATATACAATTGATTTACAGAAAGTGTAGACAAAAATCTGAAATGGATTCAACATAAGTGTCAATTGGTTTCTTTATGTAAAGCAGGTGAGCCTAAAACTTCCTACAGATTTAAATGTAGAAGTTACAATTTATATAAAAAAGTTTATGAAATATTTCCCATGTACTTCACGACTTCATCTGATTAATATACTGCTCAAATAAGCTTGTTTTATGAGTGAAAATTTGTAGTGTGTAATTTTACAATATTTAATGTATCTTATACCAAAAAACTGAGGTACTACCATTTCAATCGGCAATCGGTTCTTAATGAATACTTTGATTCTGTTCAAATCAAGTCCTGCAGAATGTTTTATGTAAACAAAGATTAAGATAAGGAACTTTTCTTTAAAATGTTGGATGGTCATAAAGGTTTTTGCCCACTGTATAATTGGACTCTTGAGAAATAATAAAAGATTCATTAAGGGTTTGCCTCCCCCTGTATTTTCTGTTCAGTCAAAATTCACTGGATACTTTCACTACTTTTGTTTAGGCCTGTTTTGTTTTACTGGCTCCAAATGATGCGTTGTATTTGCCCCTCCATTCTTTTGAAATCATGTATACCTGATACAAGATGTTCCACTTATTTTAGGTAACCAAATTTAATAACGCAATGTATTTATTACTGAACCTATTTAAAATGTGAATTCTAGGAATGATGCCAACTGATTTATTTTTAAGTATGATGGCAGTCACCCACCTTGAGCATCCATCCATGAATTTGGAAGACTTGTGCATCCAATACTGGAGAATCCTTCACGTTCTAATCTAATTAATCTTTTATTGATAATTATTAATTAAAAGGTCATCTGCTGAACAAGTATTATTATCATTAAATGTTTAAAATTTTACATGGTGCCAAAAATCCCTTTTTTGATAATATAATATATTCACTTACTATGGACTGATTTTTTTTAAGAATATTACAACACAGGACTGTTATTAATATTTCTTATTGTATAAAATGCACTAAAACAGCTTTTTTACTATGAATTTACTGATATGATTGCTAACAATATAAAATGAAAATGTCATTGAAAAGAACACAGTGGTGAACAGTCCTGAGGTCTTAAAAAGCTAATTTCTTCATCAGAAGGTACACATGTGAGTCCACTTCAAATCCATGAAGATTGTTGGCATCACCTTGTAGTCTCATTAACAGACCTCCATAGGACACATATGCTGCTCTGAAAAATAAACAAATATAGGTCCATAAAATCATGTCCAATTATATCACAGAGAAAACAGACATACTAGATAGTCATTATTGTGTTTGTTGCCAATTTCATCAATGTTCATGAATAGTATTTAAATCTTGTTTATAGCTACCATTGTTACTATTACTTTTTTATATAGGATATTTGTGCATCCCTTCTTCCTTTTATTAAAAAGATATCTACTTTGCCTTAACAACCACACATATTCAATCCTGTACATTTCTATATGGACTAATTTACATTTGATCTTGCAAGAAGTGTGACTACTAGCCTTTCACAGTCCCCTTTTTCTTAAGTACAAAACCCAAACTGTCAAGTGTACATGAGTGATAATGGTGTATTATGACTATGAATATAGTATAGAAAGAAGAGATAGACTGCTAGGTTGTTAATCATCCTCCATTGTAGTGCCAAGCGTAGGTTATATGTATGCTTTGATGTATGTATGTTATAATGATTGACAATCTATCTTGCCATGACCTAGTCAAACTTTTTCATACTCTGCCACATTTATTTTGATGTTTGTATTTTACAAAAAGAATCCAAATAAATCTTTAATTTGAAATTCCAGGAAAAAAAAACTGTTTCTTTTTAAAAATTTAAAGCCAATTTGCACTTGAAAAATGTGGTCAATAATAGGTTTTCTTAAATTCATGAGCTGCTGAATTAAATGATATGAGGTGAGCGATGAATGTATGAATGATACAAAGATGTGTTATAACAAAAGAAAAATGTCAAGGTCAATTACACATCCATCAAAATTCATCCATACATCCATTTTGATTGGTTGATAATTATGAAATAATGAAAATTCATGAGCAAAAATTGACCAATGAAATGCTAAATAGCTGAATTCCAAGAACAAAATGGCCGAAAATAGGCCTGTCTTACAGGAAGTGTAGAAAGTGGTTGTCCTCTTGTTGCCAAGACAACCAGCTAACCACACTGCCACAAAAACAAACCAATCAAATCATTTAAAGCAGAAATTTGAATTTGATCGAAGAGATCGTATGGATTAACTGGATAATGTTTGATGGATGGTGATGACAACAAATGTAAAATTCAGAAGAATATTGTTAAATATAAAGTCAACCCAGATTTATACTAAATTTTGTTCTAAATGTACAGTATTAAAATGCATTGATTGTTTAGGCAACAGGTCTGTTTCTGCAATAATAAATTATACAAAGAAAGTGTCCTAGGTAACTCAATCATCATAACTTTGAAAAGTACCTACATTAAATTATTGTTGATTTATTGATTTTAAATGAAAAATCTAGTACCCCCTGATTGTAATCCAATTGATGCTTTTATAAGAAGTGATGTCAATATGTATAATTGCTGATATCAAATATATATGTGTGTATTTTCAATTTTATACTGCTGAAAAATAGAGATATTTAAGAATATCTCAGTTTCTTTAAGGCTCCCAAACTCTCTACCGATAACAGTAACCAATTTAGTGTAATGACCATTGCTTAAAACATTATGAAAATCTATGATCCAAAATTAAGTTGGCAATAAATGGTAATATAGATGTAGCAATTCATAATATATGTGTGAAAACAGAAATGAGAACCGTGTCCTCCACCTTTACATAAAAATTCACAATCTGTCAAAGTCAAATTTATCTTGATATTTCACGTAAATCATTTGTATAAAAATTCAAACAAATTATTTAGCAAACTGCTGTCAAAGTTTTATATGGTGTGATTCAATATTGACTTACCTGACTATATAAAAGATAAAATGAGGTTAAATCTTGGGTCGTTTACTGAATACGGTCTTGTATAACTTATACTTACAGAGATTTATTTCATGCTTTAACAAGTCCTTTCACAAAATTTATACAACAGTAATAAAACTGAAATTTTTAAATCATCATGACAACTCATAAAATTTCACTTTGAAGAAAAGCATAACCTGTCCAAACTGGACTCTGCATAAAATGGAAACCTTTGGAGACTGGTCTCTTGTATCAGAGCGTGTCAAGTACTAAACTGAATAAAATTTCAGTCCAGAAGGTTTCACTGAAATACTTACCAATGTCATTGTTAACTATTGAAAAATTGTCACCTTACATGTACCAAACAAGTGTCCAAAACTTTTAAATCCATCATACAAAATTTCAACCCTGTATGTAATCTTTTTTTTTAAACAAGTCCAGTTTAATAAGAAAATATACTTAACTCCTATGATCTCCGAGTGACGATCAGTTGATTACCTGTCATATGATTACACAGTTAACTAAACTTTATAAATAGACGTAATTCCTTTCAGTGTTTTAAATATAAATATTGCCCAATACGAAATTTTCCATACAAATTGACTGACTTAAACTATACACAAATACAAAGATAAAAAAATATTTTTCTGATACCAGAATGTGAAAGGTTGAAAACTTGATTCAATTTTCAAGGTGTGTCAATGATTAAAATATTAATGTATATATATGTTTATAAGCTGCCATTAATTTTATAGTAAATAATGTTTCTTACATTTATAATTAACATTTTTTTTATGCATTAGTTTTCCTCTGAAATAACTTCAGGCTGAGGAAAGCATTTTACTTATAAACTTAAAATACCGTGTTTCCTGAAAGTTTTTCCTGTTTCAAAATAGTTTAAACGACTGATATTTAATATCTTTTTTATTCAAGTACTACACATATATGTGCAAAGAATACTAGTGAGTTTTTATAGTAAGAATATGATATGTAATCCATAAAACTGTCACATGAAAATTTAATTGTAAACTGAAGCCCTTTTATATTCATATTATCATGGATACTTATTTTGTTCATCTTGCAAAATTGTCAATATTTTTAAAGCACTAGTATAGTAGAAAATTTATAGCCTTTCAGATATTTTCTACTTATGATATTATTTACTACAATTTACATTTTATTCATTATAACAAAAAACCAAATATGCCTGTACCATACCAATATTTTCTGTATACTGGTCAGTTAAATTTAGGTTCAATTCAGACCAATCAATGTAAAAAAACTGCTATAATTTCGAGGAATCAAAATTGCTCACAAGAACTCCTTAATTGAAATAATTTCACCATTACATTTTCTTAAGATTTAATTTTCAACAACAATAATTAAATCTTCATAATATTATTAAGGAGCTATTAAAACCAGTTGCAAGATGAAGTAGGACATGTATGTTTTTGCAGTATTTAAAATTTGACTATAAGGCATAAATGGTGTAAGGCTATAGTTACAGCCATCTTTCATAATGGATATGGGTCTTTAAGGTTATCACAATAAATCCTCAGAAAGATTAAAACAAACATTATTTCCTTATTCTTTGGCAAATTTATTTGTAGGCATTACATAATTCACAAACATTCAAGACAAGTGAAGGTGAACAAAAATTTCAAAACAACTAGAAACATGACCAAATAAGTAAACCGGTAGTCCTTCTCATACATGTGGCATAGAGTCAACATGGAAATAAAAAGAAGTTAGGTTTTCTTTAAGTCTTTAGTTTGGAGAAAGATAAGTGTTTGTGTATTGATCTACTGTTACCTTGAATATGAATACTGGTAATATTCAGAGGCCAAATGTTACCTTGAATGTGAATACTCGTAATATTCAGAGGCCAAGACACATCTAGCTTTCTACTAGAAAAATAAAATGGTATAATGCATTTGACTTTTTATAGCCAATATATTTGATCCTTTTTTGGATGGTAAAAGGATATGTTTTCCCTTACAATGATGTAATAAAATGACATAAAGATTTTTTGGCTAAAAACATATTTTGCCACTAAACTAAATTTTGCTGTTAAAGATAATATTTGTACTCTGCATTTCATTTCTGTAACAATGGAGACATATATATATATATATTATCAAATTAAATATAACATTTATTTGAGGCAAATCCATTTTTCTTGAAAATGTTTCCAAGTATCATATTTATTGTCATAATAAGTAAAGGCTAATTTGAAAGTATGAAATTCGAGTAAAAAAAATGAATTTGCCATTTCAATATACACACATGCATATGAAGTAAACAAAGTTAACATATTAACATGCACACAAACAAGGTTCTACATAACATTTAATTTATAACATTGTTAATCTAACTACACAATTGTAATTAATGTTAGAATCAGTAGTTAGTTTTCTTCATGCACCAACATCCTAGTCAGAGCTTGGTTCAAAGGTCACAGGTCAAGAAGATTTGGAGGTGAAGGTCAAGTTCCAACCAATAAGAAGACAAGGAGGTGAAAAGCCCTGGCCAATCACATACCAGATTATGCATTTACAAAGATAAAACGAATGTATAATGCACATCTGGTAGTAACTGTGAAAAGGCAATATGTTTCCATAGAAACTGTTTACTCTGGCCTAAAATTAAACATTTGCAATAATTTTTACAAAAGTATGTGCAATTTTTGCTTTTCTGTGCAAATGTGTATTGAATTTGTGAAAAATATCCCACCTCCATTATTTTTTTAAAACTTTTTGCAAAAAACCCAAACATATCAATATCTGTAGTTTTTAATTATAATATTTAGAAATTTTGCATGAAAATTGCGTTTTGTGCCACAGGTTTACAAAGCTCAGAAGTCCCACCTCCAGAGTGAAATATGCAGAAGTTTGAATATTATTTGTTGGGCTAATGTTAGTACTCAAATTCCACACTCATTCTTCTAAAAAAAAAAATAGTGCTAAATGACACACACAGTGAATAAATAGGCAATTCTAATTCTATTGAAAGCCATTGAAATGTGCATAAACTGCAAAATCAAAAAGGATAACAATGTATTAACTGTTTGTGACATAATCTATTGTAAATCTTATAACAAATATGCATCTGATCTAAAACATTTTTTTTTTTAAAAGTATTTCTAATTATATAGGATTATTTTGTCATATAAATTAATAGAGTAATAAAATCCAAAACTCAGAATAAATCACAAAAATATAACTTTATGTAATATTTTTTTATT